GGGGGGGGGGGGGGGCTCAGCCGTGCAAAAAGCATCAATTAATGGTAGCTAAAAATCTCTCTCAAGGCTGTGAATTCGCGGAGAGTAGAACATTTTATCCGGAACGTGCTACGTGGTATACATGTCACACACATGCACATGCGCATGTGCGTCGGTTTTCGGCAAATTTTTGGAATACGGTGGAAACGTATTCACACTGTACTCTGTAGGCCCAAAAGAGAAAGAGTCTGTCGGTAAATCCGGGTTAGCACGGGTTAGCACGGGTCAGTGCTCACTAACCCGGATCGAATTCGGTGCGCTCGACACACTTGTTTGTAGGCGGGTCTGTCTCGTACCATATACGGTTATCATTGCTCGTTCTCACAGGCAGGGCAAGAATGCCCATTCACACCCGACGCATCCCGCGCGCCTGTGAATAGCGTCTGGGAACGCTCCAGAAGATTTCTATCTACCCTGAACCGCCAACGGCGATTCGAACCCAGGTCCTCCTCCGATTCGAACCCAGGTCGTCCTCAGATTCGAACCCAGGTCCACCGACCATCGCATGGCCATGGGTCGAGCGGCTGACATCGTCATCGAGATGAGCGCCGATCATGTGTCGAGTGGCGGTCCCCGGTTCGAGCGGCCGACCCTGAGTTGGGAGAGAGATTTTAGTTTGTTTGAGTTGGCGGCTGTGGAGGAGTGGAAAATCTTGTGTCGGAGTGATGGTGATAAAAACATTTTTGTGCGGGTAGTGTATTAATCTTCTTTTCTGGGCAGACGCCATGTCATCGGACCTCCCAAACCCGTCGGCGGCCCGTGGCACAAGGCCGCGCGCGGGGAGGAGACGCTCGTGCCCCAGCTGTTCACGGCATCAGTGCCGGACCCGCGTACCGTGCAGGGTATTGTGCTTCTTCTCTCTGGTCGGGGGTGGTGTAGGAAATCATCAGCCCATAGGAACGGCGACCACTGCAGCCTTCAGCCATGGGCGGTGGCGGCGCCATCTGCGAATGATACACCGTCGCAAAACTGCATTCCTGGGTCGTGCGGAGATGCATCCGGTTTGGGTACCGGCGGATAGCAGGTGAACGCTAAGGTGGGTTTCGAACCAGTGACAACGCCCGTCTGGGTTTTTTTGCGCCGAGTCGAACTGCGGGATTCGAACTCGAGACCCAATGCAGTTTTGCGACGGTGTATCATTCACTCTATGCCACCGTTGCATATCCTCCGGATATGCAACGGTGGCATAAAGTGAATGATACACCGTCGCACCATCGAAGTGCCAAAGTCCAAGGCGGAGAAGTGCAGTCCTATGCGACTGCTCACGTCTCGAGGAGCGGCTCAGCGCTGGCCGCTGCTGGTAAACTTCTCCACACACGCCGTGTCTGTAGCCTGGCGTTTGTGCCCGGTCCATGCCGCGTCCTGTGCCCTCGAGTTCATTTCAACAAAACAATGTCGGGTCGCCCGCGGCACAAAAACCGCTACTCGTAGACCGCGTCTCGAGCGCTTTCCACCGCGAAAAACGATGTGCGGGTGTCCTCCGACCGAGAGAGGATCTTGCCTGTCCCCATGGACTATGCAACAGAAAAGGAACAGATCAAACCCGCACGGGCGGTGTATTCTTTCTTTCTTGCAGTGACTTCGCCCTACAGCCTAATAGTGTACACCGACTTCCTTCCTGAGTTGTCTAGTTATTATCTCAACATCTCTTTTCTTCCAATCTCGCCGCCTCGAGCTCGCCACTGTTTCGTATCGCCCTCGGTCTTCCTCTGGATCATCTCGCTGTCCGCCGCAATAATCTTCCTCCAGAAGCTGACAAAGACCTTCTCCCGCTGTGGCCTCGCGTTGCGAAAGCGCCAGCTGAGCAGCGACGGTTGGCGCACGTACTGCTCGAGGTCCGCCTCGGAGGCGTACACCATGTCGGAGCCATGCGCGAGCAGCGGCCGCAGCGCATCTGGACAGTTGCAGACGGGGACGACGCCGAGTCCCACCGCCTCCCAGTGGCGGAAGCAGTCTGGCCGATCGCCGATGGGCGACACGACGAAGCGAGAGCCGGCGAGCCGGCGGCAGTAGCTGGTGTAGTTTTCGATCCTGTGCACGCCCCTCCGGACAAAGTAGGGCCGCAGCGCCTCCTGGTACTCGGTGAGGTTAAGGAGGATCGTGCGCACCCTCGAGGTGGCACGCAGCGGCGAGAGGAAGAGGTCCTCGGCCTTTGGGACGTCGCCATACTCGCGAAGGCACCGGCGGTACTGCTCCGCCTTGTAATAGTCGATTCCGTAGGGGATGATGCGGTACTTGTCGTGGTACTCGGACGGCACCACCAGCGCGTTCTGAGAGTACCAGCGCACAACGTGCTTCGAGCTGAGCACGCGCTCCACGTCCTCGATAGTGACAAATCCGAGCCGGAGCTGGTACGCGTGTGGCAGCTGTCCACCCTTTGGCAGGACCTCGATCGCTGGCTTGAGCCACTGACCCGTAATAAGAACAATGCCGGCAGTCAAGAGTGGGAGCAGCTTCCTTATGAATAATGGGAACAGGTTCACCTGAGGGCGAGCGCGGCGAAACCCGTCAGAGCACATGGGCAGCGGCGGCGAGCAGGGCTAGTGGAGGAGGGCGGAACCTGCACATGCAGCACCGCTCCGGCTGGAAGCGTCTTTATCCCGCGCGCCACCTCGGCAAGCTGTTGGCGGGTGAGCGAACTGCTGTTTCGGCTCTGCAGGCAGTAGTCTTGGTGCAGCGTCGTGTTTGTGATGTACTGCGCCATGTCGAATGCAAACAGCGGAGTCGCCGAGACGGCACGCAGCTTGTTGCAAGCAACCTCCCAGCCCAAGTAGTGGGTCGCGACGTAGTAGGGCATCATTGGTGTCACTATTTTCTGGCACACTGAATGCTCGACCTTTACAGGTGGAGGCGGCGCGGGTGAGGGCGGCAGTCGGCGTTGCAGATGTGCAAGCCGGCGCTGCTGCGCAAGCTGCGGAGGGTGAAGCGCGCTGTCAGCACTCCATCGTGCGCACACGAACGACAGGAGGAACAGCAAGCATACCGCCCGGCGCATATCTGCTCGGTGCGTATCTGAAGCGACACAGAGCAGCAGCCATGCGGCAGTAGTACAGCGAAGCGGGCCAAATGCAACGTAAAGTGTTCGTAAAATTAATCGATAGTAGTGGCATGAAGGTTGCAGCGAGAATCGGCGAGGCACTGCGCGAAGAGAGAGAGGAAGGGGCAGACGCCCAAGGGTGGGCGACGGCTAGCACCACAATCCTCGCCGCTTTCCTCCCACTGTGATTGATTCAACAATGCACCTAACACTGTGATTCTGTGTGAGCTCTGTGTCTTGATTTGCCAACAATACACCTATACACACTCACCTACACACTCACCCACTCCTCTCCTTAAAATCCCTGTGTGGTGGCGGCGTGCCGTCCCCCATCCCTCCCTTGGGTTGTATGTTTTCTTTCTTTCTTTCTTTCTCGCCCTCCCTCACTGGTGTGCTCATTGGGGGGGTTGTCATAACAAACACGGTACAGGATCGAGGTGCACGCCGCTGAGGGACCCCAGACGCCAGAGCGCAGAGGGTAGATCGAGCGGTGACGTTTAGCTTATGGGGAACGACGGAGACGGGGTGTAGGCTGTAGCTCTTGTTTCATACGCCCGAATGCAACGCAATCGGTGTCGCTCCCCAACGCAACTTCTCTCTGTCAGCAGTACTCGAGCAGTTGTAAGTACAAGCGAATAAGGCCGACAGAGACCCCCCGATCCACAACAAAGTCCAACCAAAGCAGGTGTCTGCCTTGCGTTTGGCGAGAGACTGCGACAAGAGATAAGACGGGTCGGGTCGGGGCGGGTGATGGAGCATGGAGGAGCAGGGGAATTCGGACGGCGGCTCTTGTGGAAGCCGTGTTCTGCGCCTTGTCCCTAAAGAAAGAAAACACATACAACCCAAAGGAGGTATGGATAATATACCTAATACATAAAGGAGGGATGGGGGGAAGGCACGCCTTCTCCATTTGAAGCGTGCTTGAGGCTTTTTTCCGTTCCTGGTTGATTGTGCTCGACCGTCCTCGCGGTGTGCTGCACAGCTCTCACAACGTTAGGCAGGACACCGTGCGCGCCCTCGTGAGGAAGTTCCAGCATGTCCGACGTCCAGTCCCTGCTGCTGCAGACCATCTTATGGTCCATCATCCTCGAGTGCGTCGTAATGGGCTCCTCGCGGGTCCTCAAGTGGCCTGTGCTCGTGCTCCTCATCTTGTGGATGGCGGTGGACCTGGTATGCTATGCGCTTGTGCGGCTTCTCATTCGCGGGGTCGACCTCATTCAGTCCGCCCTGCGGCCGGGCGACATCTCTGCGCTCCTCGAACGACTCGACAATGCAAAAGACTACCAATCGTGGTTCGCATTGGCCGAGGCAGCGGACGAGAAGGAGGGCCGCATGGCTTGGCGGCGCGAGCAGCACTCTCGGCTCTTCGACGCGAACGCTGTCACGAGGATGACTGCGCGCCTCGCACAGGCTCGCGCAAGAAATGACGTTCCAGCAGTCATTGCCGCTCTGCAGGGCTGCCTTGTCACAAACGCGTACGGCGTGAATCGGGAGCAGAACTACCTGTTTGCGCGGACCGGGCCAAAGCTACCCGTACAGAATTTTGTCAGCGAGGTCTGCACTTCGATTCGTTGGCTGCAGAGCACCGGTCAAACCGCGTCGAGGGCAGAGGCGGAGGCCACGCTCGTCGCCGTAGAGCGCGAGCAAGCATCGCATGGCAACCCAGCGCTGATGCTAAGCGGTGGTGCCGCTCTCGGAACGTACCACTTCGGCATCCTGAAGGGGCTCTTCCTACACAGCTGCCTCCCGTCGGTAATCTTTGGCGCGTCCGCGGGCTCGATCGTCGGCTCGCTCGCGTGCTGTTGGACCGACGACGAGCTGCGCGACTTCTTTCAGACAGACGAGGGGTTTGAGACTCTGTGGCGGGTGATGGGGCCGGAGAATGGACCCTTCCAAGGCCGCCTTGGGACCAGGCACCACGATCCTCCTTCCCCGCCCCCATTCTCACCACGCCCCCCCTCTCCCCCGCCTAGGGTCCACTTGGTGGAAGATCTGGCGCCGCGCTAAGCAGGGATTCATATACGACGCGGAGCCGTTTCGGGAGCAGCTCAAGTTCTTCACCAAGGGACTCACCTTTCTTGAGGCCTATGAGCGCTCCGGCCGCACTCTGGTCATCTCCGCCACGCCATTCCGCGTTGGGCACTCAGGGGGCGGGCACGGCCCGCCTCTCATGCTCAACTATCGCGATGCGCCCAATGTGGACATCGCCTCCGCCATCTGCGCCTCGTCGGCCGTGCCAGGACTCATGGACAAGACCGCGCTCCTGGAGAAGGCGCCCGACGGTTTCCTGCGCACATTTGGCGGCGACGACGAGGCCTCCTCGGCCAACGGCATGCGCGATGGCAGTTTTGAGGCCGACATGCCTCTTCAATACCTCGCAGCGCATTTTGGCTGCTCCTTCGCCATCGTCTCTATGGTGAACCCGCAAGCGCCCAGCGCGCTCAGCCTGTTCTTGTTCACCTTGGGAGAGGGGGGTGGGGGTCCACCTCCCTTGGGTGCGGGCTGGCGGTCAGGCTTGCGCTTGACCGCCTTGCCCGGCGGCTTGCGGCCAGGGTTCCTAATGGTGAACCTGTCCGGCATGCCGCCCTTCCCAACCCTGGTCCACCCCTCGGGCGACTCGTTGGGCTGGGGTTGCTGCACCTGTTGGTGCTGCGGGTGTGCCTGCGGTGCTGCGGCCGGAGCTGCAGCGGCGGCAGGCGGTGCTGCGGGCGGTGCCGCGGCGGAGGTGGCAGCAGGCACAGGCTGCGGTGGGGCACTGCCCTCCTTGGCCTGCTGCCGCTCCCTGTCCCTCTCCCACTGGGACTGGGGCTGGACAATGAACTGCTTGCCCATGGGCGTCGGGTTGACGCTGAAGCTCCACCAGTTGCGCTCCACGGCGAGCTGCGAGAGGATGCGAATCATCGCCTCGTCTTGCGGCGCCACCGCCTCTCCTGTGGCTTGCGCGCATAGTTTGAGCCTGGCCGCAACGGACGGGCCATCGCGAGCGTCGGCCATGGCCCCGTTTCGCCGTTTTGTAAAGTTTCCTTCGCACAGCGGGCTGTACAAGATATTGTTCCCTATCTTCGCATGCTCGTCGTTGGTGATATCCGCGCGAGGTCATACGCCACAGGCCAGCAATCACTCGATGATGAGACTACACTGATGTATAGACAGACGCGTGTGGTATTACAAGATAGACTCACATGGTCACAAGTGTTTGGGAAACGCCAGCACTCGACACGACGAAGGTGTATTGGGCCCGAAGGCGCGGTGAACACAACCGCCTCGAGCGTACCGCTCAAACACGAGCCGAGGGAGGGTGGAGGCGGCGGCGAAGAGGCGGGAGAGCTGGGTCCAGTGCGCTCTGCTGCTGGGGGGGGGTCCGGACCCCCCCCCCAGCAGCAGCGCTCTGCTGCTGGGGGGGTCAGACCCCCCCCCCCCCTAGCAGCAGGGATGTAGTTGTGCAGGGGGGTACCGAGCAGTGTGCGGCCGCTCCCACCCAGCGAAAGTCCGAGAAGAGAGCTTCCTCAGCCACTCGAATCTCTCGATGTGTTCCTCTCTCTTCATTACTTTATGCGCGCCGTACAAGCCTCATCATTGAGCTGGATCCACCTCTGCAGTTCAGCCCGTTGTTGAGCCTATGGGTTACCGTATGCTTAAAAGACTTATATGACGAAAAACGCACTATCCCCAACATAAGTCATAACCCTCTAAATAAAGCCGTACACCCAACCCCACGCGGGCAAGAGTCCTGTGCGGGCGTGGAGAGGTAAGGTGACTGCGGCTACGGCTGTGGCCTGTGCGCGCGCTACCGGGGGGCCTACGGCTGCCGCGAGCGGAGCAGCGGAGGCGGTCTGGACTCTGTGGAGAGAGCGCACTCGCTCCTCTCTCTCGTCTCTGACACGCACACTCGGATCTCGGTCCACACATAGAGCTCTACAAGAATAGCCGGCGCGCTTCAGCGCGAATGTCTGGCCTTGGCTGGGGACGCACGCTGCTCTCGCTGGAGCGCTCACAACGCAATAGGCGTGAGGTCCGAGATTCGTGCTTGAAGCGCTTGGCGTTGAAATTCCTTTTCGGCCAACGTTACTCGAGCGAGTTGACGTTACTGCAAGGGTTCGTGAGTTGTGGGCCCACGCAGAAGGCAGCGCCTGTCTGCAAGCCGAGCCACGTCAGCGCTCGGCGCCGAGGCACGTTGCCGCCCTCTCGCAGCGAGTCGTCGCGGTTGCGCTGCGTGTTGAAGCCGACCGCAGCTAGCGCGGCTGCGGCGAAGAAGGCGGCGCCACCAGCGACTGGGTCGATGGGCTCGATGCACTGCCCGGCGTTTGCCAAGACGGCGTCCGAAGCGGACACCCTGCGGCCGTGAATGATGACCTCAGCGCCGCTCCGCTGCGCCAGCAACAGCGCGTCGGTGAGGGACAGCCCGAGGAGGAGGAGCAGAGGAGACGGCATACACACACACACACACACTGGCGAGGTACTCCCACGCTCTCGGGGTTCTAGTCTGGCCGAGTCAACCCGAGAGGCTGGGGCGAGCCTTTGGCGAGCAGCGTTCAGTTGTCCCAGCGCGCTCTACGGCCAGAAAGAAGAATTCCGCGCTCCCACTCCACCTTCCCTCACCGTTACGCAGAAAGGCGAGAGAAGCAGCGAGAGCAAGGCAGACGGCAGCGGCGTCTCAGAACGAGGCCGAGGAGAGCGATGAGTAAGGGGAAGAGACAGCAGGAGAGAGAACGACGAGAGTGGGAAGAACGCGAGGTGGCATGAAGGTCGCTGCGAGAATTGGTGAGAAACTGCGGAGAGAGATAGGAAGTGGTAGACGCCCAAGGGTGGGCGACGGCTAGCACCACACTCCTCTCCTTAAAATCCCTGTGTGGTGGCGGCGTGCCGTCCTCCCATCCCTCCCTTGGGGTGTCTGTTTTCTTTCTTTCTTTTACCTTCCCTCACCTACAACTCTCTAATGGAGTACTTGGGATTTTTTTCTCGTCGGGATATTTTTCTTTTTTGCGCGATTTTTCACTTGTTTTCATGGGAATTCGGCGTACTTGCGGCCACGCTATCACGCACGCCTTGCGACAGCCTGTCGGCGCTGCTGACCGTGCCATGCTGCACAATTGATCACCCGCATAGCTCGCGGCCTTAGTATCCAGCATTCAGTGACGACCTGATCGTAGGCCAGTAGGAAGGTGTCCTTCCAGCTGCGTGCACGCTTCTGGCGCAATGCGCGTCGCCTCGGATTGGCTGCTGGCACTCTCGAGGCTATGCCTACACAGCCTCGCGCGCATGGGCAGTCAAGAGGGACCACGCACCTTCTCAGGACAGCGCCGGTGCCTCTCTCTTGGACCGGCAAACTTGGTGGTCTCGTGTCACCAATGTGGGACCAGTGCGGCATCGCGCCATCGACAGCTCTGAACTGCGCCTCACCACTGACCGGAGGAAGGCCGCCAAGTGGGCCAGCACCGGCCGCACATTGTGGCAGCAGTCAGCAGTGCATGTCTGATAGCTAGAGCAGCAGCGTCAGGGTCGCAGGGTCGGATCGTGTCAAGCCTCTCGCCCGGCCGGCCGCGTGCAGACGTCGGCCTGTCTGCTGTCTGGAGTGATCTGTCGGCGGTCAGTACGACCGATCAGGTTGGAGTTTTCTGGTGGTTGGAGGGTCTACCTGTGTGTACTCCTCGAGATCTCTCCAAATCTGCCCTCTGATTAACTTAGCTTAATCGGGAAGTCGGTACTAGTAGAGACTAGTAGAGCCGGAGGCAGCCCCGTTTCCGCACTGCTGCGCGGCGCACGGTGCCTCCGGGGCCCCCCGCCCCCCCCCAGAGGACTGGTGCCTCATATGCTGCCTCCCTGCGGATGCTGCCGGCGAGCCTGGTGGTCCGCTGTACTACAAGGATGTGCTGACTCGACTTCTTCCCGAATTCTTCTTACTACCACCACGACTCGGAACGCGAATGTGACAGGACCATCAGGTCCTTCGGCCACCAAAGCGAGATCACCCGGAGAGCAGCTGAGCCTGCCTCTGGCCTCGCCTCCCTCTCCTTCAGGCATTCGTGGTATCCTATGGGTCGTCCAGAGTATCGACATCTGGCTTGTCAGCCGCCCCACCGAGGGCACCATGAAGTACAGCGATCGCCACCTCGCTGGCCTCTCCGCAAGGCCCCCCGACCGCGTCGAACTCATCGGCGCGGGCTCTCTCGGCTACGGGACCGGCCCCAGCTTCGGCTGAGGGCTGACAAGCTGCCGAGCCCAAATCACTGTGAGAGTCGTGATTTCTTGTTGGTTTTCTACAATCTCTCTCTCAGGTCCCGGGTCCTTTCTTGCGATGTGGAACTACGCGCGAAGAGATTTGGGATTCTTCTTTTTATGTTCTTGTTGTGTATCGCTATCTTTTTCCGCGGCAAACCGGGTCGCCAGGGTTTCAATTTTTTCCGGGGTATGGGTTGCGTGAAATCCGGCACGGTTTCACGCCTGCTCTGCTGAGGGGAGGGAGGGGCCGGGCTCATAACGGCGAGTCGAGCTCCTGCCTCTGGCCCCCCTGTGATATTCTCCATGTGCAGTGAGATGTAAAAAACGGACGTCCGTCGGCGCAACTTCTCGTTGGCAGGTTCGTCGCGGTCGTGCCAGCTCTCTGCTCTGGGTTCTGATTTCAGTCGAGTATGGTACGCTCGACCGGGGCGCCAAAAGGATGGAGGTTCGCAAGGCCTTTTACCGCGCCGCCAAGGCGCGGCAGTTCCAGGCGGCGTGGGACCTGCTCGCGTCGGCCCGCCGGTCGGGCGTCGCCGACAAGCACATGTACGGCGTCGGCCTCTCGATCGCGTCCTCCGCTGGCCGTACCGGGTGGGTGGATGCCCTGTGGCGGGAGCTGCGGCAAGCGCCTGAGCTGCGGCGAACGCGCGAGCGGCAGCCGAGCGAAGGCCAATCCGCCAGGCTCAACGCGCCGCTCTGCACCGCTCTCATCACCGCGTTCGGGAGCGACCGGGACGGCTCGCGGCTGGGCAGCTGCCGCGCAGTGCTGCAGTGGGCGGTCGAGCACGGCATCGCAAACACCACCACGTACAACGCCTTTCTGCACTGCGCGAGCCGCTCAATCGGAGGAACGGCGTCGGCGCGGCGCGGCCGGCGGCGCGGCGGCGCGGCAGCGAGTGACGATACGTCGGTGCGCCGCCGCCGCTAGATTCCGCCTCCCGAAGCGCACCCGAGATGGACGGCTCTCACAACCGCGCGAGAGCTGCTGCTCACACCCCGTCCCGTTCACAGACCCTGTCCACAAAGAAGAGAGACTCCCTCCATTGCGCCTGGGCGCTAGCCTCTGAGAGGTGACGCGTTCTCACCACAGGCGACTGACGCGGCCGCCCTGGCAGTGGCGATGACGGACCAGGCGCTGGCCCAGATGGGTGAGCTCGGCGTCGCGAGGGACGCGCGGACCGCGGCGAGCGCGATCACCGTGTATGGACGCGCAGGGCGGGATCTAGCCGAGATCTAGACAGCCGAGATCCAGCCGAGATCTAGACGAGATCCCGCCGAGATCCAGCCGAGATCCAGCCGGGACCTGAGATGTCCGAGACTGTCAAGACATGTCCCGCAGGCGGCTGGACCGGGCGAGGGACGTGTACGAGGAGAGCGGCGACGTGGCCGACACAGTGGTAGGCAACGCCCAATATAATGTATAATCTAGTAATCGACACAGTGGTGGGCAACGCCCTCATCGTATTATAATTAATTAATGATTAACCTCCCTTATTAATAATTAACACAGCGGTAGGCAACGCCCTCATCGCCGCGGCGGCGCGCGCGGGCGACGCGGTGCTCGCGCATAGACCAGAGATACTGATGCACACACACACATACACACACACACGCACACGCACACACACATACACACACACACACACACACACACACACGCACACACACACACACACACACACGCACACACACACGCACACACACATACACACACGCGCACACACACATACACACACGCGCACACACACACACACACACACACACACACACACGCTCACACACACACACACACACGCACACACACACACACACACACACACAACACAACACACACACACACACACACACACACACACAACACAACACACACACACACACACACACACACACACACACACACACAACACAACACACACACACACACACACACACACACACACACACACACACACACACACACGCACACACACACACGCTCACACACACGCTCTCTCTCTCTCTCTCTCTCTCTCTCTCTCTCTCTCTCTCTCTCTCTCTCTCTCTCTCTCTCTCTCTCTCTCTCTCTCTCTCTCTCTCTCTCTCTCTCTCTCTCTCTCTCTCTCTCTCTCTCTCTCTCACAGCTCCTTGGCGCTCGCTCGAGGTGCTCGCACTCGACACGCTGGCCTCGCTCGGCGACGCTGCGTCGATCGTCTCGTACAACGCGGCGCTGCAGGCGCTGGTCAAGAGCGACCAGTCGCTCGACCGCGTCGCCCACGCGCTCGAGCTGCGGCGGGCGATGGCCGAGGCGGGGCTGGCGGAGGACGAGGCCTCCGTCTCGAGCTTGCTCGCCATCTTCGGCGACGGCCCACTCGGCGAGGAGCTGCTCGCCGAGCGGAGCTTGCAGCAGCAGCAGCAGCAGCAACAACAACACCAGCAGGGCCAACCGCAGGGGCAGCAGCAGCAGCAGCAGCAGCAGCAGCAGCAGCAGCAGCAGCAGCAGCAGCAGCAGCAGCAGCAGCAGCAGCGTGCGACGCCGTGGGCGAGCGACGGCGGCGTCGAGCCGTCGACACCAGAGCGGCAGCCGCGCGGCGTGCTCTCCTTCCCCCTCTCCTTCCCCCTCTCCTTCACCGCCACCGGCGTGAAGCCCGCGTCGGGTGCGCGGCTCAGCCAGGCGGGGCGGGCGCGCGGCGGCGCAGGCTCTCCCCGGTGTACTCCCCGGGCGGCTCCAGCGATCCAGACCGACTTGCGAGGCATGACTCGCCCCGCAGCCGCGATTGCGCTGCGGCGGGCGCTGCGCGGCGCGGCAGGCGGCTCTAGATGCCGAGCGAGGGGAGCCGGATTGTGCACATGCACAGCTACATCTGTGGATCTGGACTATGCACATGCCGCCCCAGACACCGCCTGCCACAGTTCGAGGCCCCTCGTGGTGTGTGCGGCACTGCGCTGAAGACGCCTGGGGCCGTCTCAGACTGCCCCTCGTGCCCACGCGAGGTAGCATGTTTCCGTACGCCCCCCCCCCCCCTTGGAGACTCCGCTGCACCCGTGGACAAAGGTCGTACGTACTTTGAGCTGCCTGGGAGATGTGCGCATTAGGCCGACGCCGCCGCTCGGGGCGAGCAGCTCGGCGGCGGCTGGGAGATCATCACGCGGACGCCTCTGAAGCACACGATGCGCCGCTCGTCGGGCGGGTAGACTCGCGAGTGGTGTACTCAAGCAGAGAGGTGGACTCAAGCAGGCACGGGATGCGCCGCGCTCCGGACGGGTCGCTGCACGCGCTCACGGCCGCCTTCCTCAGCGGCGCGAGCATCGGGTGCGAACAGTGCCGCGCGGCGCCGACAGGTTGACTGGAGTACGAGTTCCTGACCCTCGTCCCTCGCCCCCTAGGTACGAGAACGTGCCGCGCGGTGTCGTCGTCGGGACGAGGCGAGGCGTCTGTCGTTGGGAGATGCAGCCGAGATGCAGCCGAGATGTGGCCGAGATGTGCCGAGGCGTGGCTGAGGTGTGGCGGGGATGTGGCGGGGATGTGGCGTGTTCGTCGGGCGAGGCGTCTAGGAGAGGGGGGGGGGAGTGGAAAGGTGTTCTCACCCCACGTGTGTGCACCCTGCCTTTCCTTCTCGACACTGCAAGTCGCGCCGGTCTCAGGTGTGTCAGGTGTGTGGAGTCTTGGGGCTGTGTCTGCTTGCCCCACCACCACCTTGTGTGTGCGGAGAGGTCTACCTTACCTGCCTTAGGCGGCTCGAGCGCGCGGCGGCGAACGAGACGGTCGCGCAGCGGACACGGACCACTCTGACATGCTGCATGCTACACGTCCAGGACACGTCCTGTAGGTCGCGCAGCGGACGCAGACCATTCTGAAGGGGTCGCTCGTCCGCGTGGGCCTCGCGCTCAGCGCGGTGGCGGCGGTGAGCCTGATCCCGAGGCTGGCGGCGCTCGTGTGACGTGAGCGACATACTACTATTAGTCTCAAGTCTCACAGGCAGAGCCGACGGAGTGAGAGGAGAGAGCGAGGAGCGAGATCCGAGGGCGGGGTGAGTTCCTGGCACTTTCCTCTGCCATTATTTGGAGTGAGTGCATGTACGTCTGTCGTCTCAGACTCCACCGGTCCCGGTCCTTGGGCCTATATCTCCATCAAAATCCATCTCTCCTCTTGACCCGCCCACGGCCCAGCCCCCCAGGCATCCCTCTCGTTTGGGTTGTCTGTTTTCTTTCTTTTCTCAGCAACTGCAGTGTCACGCCCGACTGTTCACGCTGTTCTTCACCGGTTCCTAACTGACTAACTTCACGTGGGGCTAGCACGGCACGCACACACATGGCAAGACACTAAGGGCGTCTACGCCCTCAGCAAGACCTGACTGGCTAGACGGCCGAAGCTACACGACCGACTCACCGAGCACGACACAGCACGAGCTCGGGGGAGGGGGCTGCACGACCGCACTCCGCCCCGGCACGAGCTTCTTCTCGATTCTTCGTGCTTGGAGCGCGCGCGCACGCCAGACCCCGCACCTCACACCACGCCCGTTGCACCGACACACCCACGACGTGCACGCCGACAGTTCCTTCGCCCCGCCCCGGTCACGCCTCCCGCCCCACCGCCTTCTCGCGTGCCACGCCGGCGGCGGTGGTGGTGGGACGGCCACCCTCGGGCGAAGGCCCTTCAGTAGATCACAGCCTCCTTGCTCGCCTGGAAGGAGGGGCCACCTGTGCGGATACAGAACCCACCAATTCGTCACATCACGAAGGCCTCGCTTAGCGCCTGCCTCAGAATGAGACCGCCTTGGGCGGCTCCTCCTCCTCCACCGCCTCCTCGTAAACCTCGTCCGCCGCAGCCTATTCCCGCCCCGACGCTGTGAAGAGGCGCTCCTCTCTCGCCACGACCCCCCCCCCCCCTCCCCCCTCCCCGCCTCGGACGCAGACGCAGACGCAGACGGAGACGCAGACGGCGCCGGCTCAGCGGTGACGGGCTCCGCAGCCTGCCGGGGTACCGGGGGGGGGCGGGGCGGGGGGCGCGACTTTGGCGCGAGTCTCCAGAGACCACAGAGAGACGCCCCTCGGTACGTGGTGTTGCTGACACGCGGCACGGCGAGGCACGCGGCACGCGAGGCGCCGGGCGGCCGCAGACACGTCCCGTGAGGTCTCGGAGCAGAAGAACGCCTCGAGTGCCCCGTGTGTCAGTAGGCCTTCCTTCCGCAGCTAGGGCCTGCTGCTTCCGCAGCTAGGGCTTTGCACACCGGCGCGCCAGTCGGCTCGGCGGGTGCGATCAGCGCGGCGAGCCTGCAGCGCGCGGGCACACATGAGCTGAGGGCGAGTCCTGCCCCTGAACCCTGCCCCTGAACCCTGCCCCTGCCCCTAACCTTGCCCCTGCCCCTGCCCCTGCCCCTGCCCCTGCCCCTGCCCCTGCCCCTAACCATGACCTTGCCCCCGCCCCCTGGGGTGCGAGCGCGGTGTATCTGTCGTGCATCGCTGGAACACGCAGTACGCTGGGGCAGAGCCGGCATCCGCTGCTCGGTGCGCTCTCTAGCTGGAGAGGATGCGATAGGCACCCTGCCCTGTCTTGACTGTGTGTCTGTGTGCTGCTCCAAGTGTGTGGCCGTCTCTCCGTCTCGCTCACTCATCTGCCCACGCCGCCCGGTGTCCTCGCACCTCGATCTCGCACCTCGATCTCGCACCTCGATCTCGCACCTCGATCTCGCACCTCGATCTCGCACCTCGATCTCGCACCTCGATCTCTCCACCGCGCATCTACCAGCGGCGGGCCACTCGAGTCGCGCGCGAGCTCCGCGCGGCACCGGGAGCGAGTCTAGCCGCGCCGCCTGCAGAGAGCACACACAGAGAGAGGGGCAGCTCGGCAAGTGGTCAGGAGCCCACCCGTGACTAGCCGACCGCAGCGACAGCACAGAGAGCCCCCCTGGCCAGCCAACCAGCTCGTGTAAGCTCGTGTACTCTCGTGTAATCTCGTGTAATCTCGTGTAATCTCGGCCCGCCTGCAGGGTGAGCTATGTGTGTATCTAAGCTCGTGTACTCTCGTGTACTCTCGTGTACTCTCGTGTAATCTCGTGTAATCTCGTGCACTCTCGTGTAATCTCGTGTAATCTCGGCCCGCCTGCAGGGTGAGCTCAGAGAGAAGCACGCGCGCACGCCCGCTCAGCGCGACGAGTCGGTCGAGCGAATGCACGTCGGCGAGCAGCTCCGCCGGCCGCTGCACCGCCGCGCGTGCCGCGCCCGACACCTGCGCGATACCGTCGGAGGAGTAGCTCCCCCCCACTACGACGACAGCTAGTGACTACTCCACAACTCGCTCGTGGTGCCGTCGGTGATCGGTGGGCTCCTCCGGCTCATTCAAGCTAACTAGCCGCTCGCGAGCGATGCGCTGCTCGGCACCTTCCCGTCGGTGAGCTCCTCCGAGAGAGCGGCGGTGGCGGCGTGGAGGCGGTCGAGGCTGTGCTGCGCCTGTTCACAGCCAGAGGTGTGAAGAAACGCTGTTCACAGCCGGACGAAGCGGTCGAGGCTGTGCTGCGCCGCGCCGCGCGCGAGCGAGGGGAGGTCCTCCTAGCACACACACCAAGAACCATGATGCACCTTCATGTGTCGCCCTGCCGAGCGGAGCCGAAGTGCAGGAGATCAATGCTAAGCCAGGCCCTGGCACGCCAACCGTCATCACCACACACGGTAGTCACGCTGTAAGAGTGCCACGTCTTGCAGGCCATGCAGGCCGGCCTGCACGAGCCGCCGCGTGTCGCGCGCGAACGCGTCGCTCAGCACGTACTCGCGGTACGCGACCTAGCGACCAAGGACCGCGTCTTCACTCACGGTGAGGCGCAGTCGGCCAGCCCTCGCGCCGGAGCGCGACCAGCTTCTCGTACTGCAGCAGGTCGCACGCCGTCTCGCGAAGTGCCTCGGCCGTGGCGACGGGGTGGGCGCGCGCCTGAGGGCAGGAGCCCCAACGCGCATTGAGAGAGCAAAGGTCGGTGCGCGTGGGCGGGCAGACCCCCCCGCCCCCCCCACCCCCCATCCAACCCCCCTCACCCCACAGGCCTCTGTGATGACACGAGTCGTGTCACTGTCAACTGGCCTCCCGTGTGCGAGGCCCGGTGCGCGGGGGCCAGGCCCGGTGCGCGTGGGCCAGGCCCGGTGCGCGTGGGCCTCGTGCAGCGCGTCGAGGGCGCGCGCCAGCCGCTTGTCGGCAAGCAGCGCCTCCTTCTTCTCCACCAGCGCCGCCTTCCGGTCGGCGATCTTTGCAATGTAGGGAGCCGCGGCGGCCCTCGCCGGCACAACGATCCGCTCGGTGGCGAGCTCTTTGCCCTCGGCGAGGACGGCGGCTCGTCCGTCGGCGCCTTCGCGGGCGAGAGTGACGCGCGCCGCGACCGCCTCCTTGTATTCCGCGACGACGGGCACGAGTTCTTCGTACTTTTCCTTGCTCTTCTCAAACAGGCCGCTCCCCTTCTCGTACAGCCGGGGAGCCGCCCTTTCGAGCAGCGCCGGCGCCTCCTTGACGAGGCCGGCGGCGGTCGTGCACGTGGCGAGCGCCTCGACCTGTGTGGCGACGCGGCGACGCAGGGTGCCGGCGTGTGTTGGGCGCAAGCTTACGGGCACGGTTGAGCGGCGTGTGTTGGGCGCAAGCTTACGGGCACGGTTGAGCGGCGTGTGTTGGGCGCAAGCTTACGGGCACGGTTGAGCGGCGTGTGTTGGGCGCAAGCTCATATGTGGTGAGCGCCTGCTTCTCGTTGAGGTACTTGTCGGCTCCTACTTTGTTGAGCACAGCCTCGACGAGAGGCACGCGAGTATCTGGGTCGTAGGCGCGAGCCGCATAGTCGTATAGCTCGTCCTTTGAGGGGATGGATGCGAGCATTGCCGCTGCCATGGCAGGTGAGCGGCGAGCCGACGTCAACGTTGATGCAGGCCGGATGCAGTTTGAATTCTTCTATCAAGAGGAGACCAGCAGGACTCTACTACACATACTCTCAGCCTCTCCTCCTACACGGCGTGATCACGCCAGCGGCGGCGGCCGCCTGGGGAGCGCATATGGCGGCGCAGGCGCAGGCGGCGGCGGCGGCACAGACGGCGGCGGCCAAATCCCACCCAGACGCCGTAGGCATATGACTGTAGGGCCCCAGAAGGCTAGCTGGTAGCTTCATTTGTAGTAGCACAGCCGCCGTGCTAGAGAGGGGGGTCCCCGCAGAGGTGGGGCGGGAGGGTTGAGAGAGAGACCCTGACCCATGACCATCCCATGACTACATGGACCACACTCACATGTCTTTGCATGTAATAGTTTTGTTATACCCTCATGGGGCACAAGAAAGAGGCTCTACGGGGTCTGACTGTGTACGGTCTGTGCTGCTGTCGGGCTGTCGGCGCTGCCTGTCAGGCCACTGTGTGCTTTCGGGCTGTCGGGCAGCTGTCAGGCTGTCACGTTAGGGCCTGACAGCGACGGAGCACCTCGACTGTCAGACTCTGCTGTCAGGCTGTCAGATACGTGCTGTCAGACTGTCGGAGAAAGTGCTGTCAGCGCTGTCAGGCTTGTCGGGCACTGTCAGGCGTTGTCCGGGGTTTGCTGTCCAGGCTGTCAGACCAGGGCTCAGCGGCGGAGAAGTCCAGGTCATCGCCGTCGGCGGAAGGCAAGGCGCCGGCCTTGACAAGGCGGATGAAGCTGGGCGTGCCCATGATGAGGCGAGCGACGGGTAGGAGGTCAGGGCCGGTCGTCGCTTGCGGCGGATCCAGTCGAAGAGCTTGACGCGCCCACAGCCGTTGGGGTCAGGCTTGTTGTCGGCCGTGAGCGCCTGGGCGATCGTGTTGTAGGTCACCGCCGAGATGGTCGCGTTGTCCGGCCCTTCGACCTTCGTGCCGACGAGCGACGTTAATCTGCCGTGCCACCCCGCGACGTGCGGGGCGGCGTACGCGAACAGCTCAACAGGTGGTGTGCGAGTGCCGAGCGATTCTAAGATCAGGCCTGCCACTGGGCGGAAATCGGCCGTCCTGCCCGCTTCAGTTTCCTCAATTGGCTCGAATTTTGCTTAGTAGAAAAAAGAAGTTAAAAGAACAGGGGGACGGGGCGGCCCCCGCCAGCCCCGCTCGAAGCCAGGCAGCCCCGCTCGAAGCCGTGGCGGCGCAGGCTGCCACCGCTGCCCGGGCGCCCCGAGCGGCGGCGGAGGGCCGCCCAGGCCACCACCAGTGCCCCTCCCACCGGCGGCGCGGCGGCAGCGGCGCCGACCGCCCCTCCATCAGCGGTGGCGCGACGGCTGTCGTCGGGGCGCCGGCAGGTGCCGCGCGCAGAGGGTGCCACCGGACCGGCCGACGCGCGCCCGGCGGAACCTTCGTCGTCCACGGCGGGCCGAGCACCCCCGCGTCGCTTCTCGGCGCATTGGAGAGCAGAGGAAGCTGCTGGCGTCGCCGCTGGGATCGGCGGCGGCGCCAGCAGCGTTCTCGGATCTGAAGCCGACTTTGAGCGCCGATCGATCGATCTGAGGGCTGGCCGATGGGTGGCGCTGGGACATCGCCGCCGCCGCGGAGGCCGGCGGCGACCAGAGGAGCGGTTGGGGCGCGTGGCGCATATGTTACCTGCCAAGTGAGCATTCAAGTGTGCTTCGAGATTTATTCGAGATTTGAAACTTAGATTTCACTTTCCAGCGGGGAGGTGGCAGACCTGATCTTAGAATCGCTCTGCCGTTCTTGGAGAAGGAAGTTGACCGGCGCACGGGCGCGCTCTTCCGCCGCCTCGGCCCTCGAGGCAATGAAACCTCGAAGGGTCTGTGTCACAATATTCACTATTCACTATGTAGGAAGGCTCTCCACTCTGGTGGAGCCTTCCTACATCCTAGTACTTCCTAGGACGCCAGTGCGCACTTGCGGCCGGCGCACCGCCTCGCCATAGCACACCGTCTCCGTTGGCGACACCGGTCTCGGTCCGCCATCACGCATCACCCCAATGGCCCTGGGCTAAGAGCTCAGTCGAGCCCTCTTTCACGTCTTAGGGTTAACCTACGTACTCAGCGGCCGTCGAGAGCTCCCCGCCGCAGCTCCCCTCCCGCGCGGCTTGAGCCCGCTCGCCTCGTCGCCCCTTGCCTTGAGCCTCCCTCGGCCGCCCGCAGACCCTCCGCCTGAGCCGGGCCGCGCCTGGCCCGCCAGCTTGCGCCAGCGCTGCAGCGCCTCGGGCGCGTCCTTGTCCGCCTGGGCGAGGTACGCGGCGATCGCGCCGCGCCGCGAGGCGTCGTGCCGCATCGGCTCGCCGTAGTACACGTCCGCAGGGACGCACCGTGCCGCGGCTCGCGAGGCGGAGCGGTTGGCGGCGCGGGAGGCGGAGGAGCGGTTTCGGGCGGGGAGGCCCCTGCACTGCGGGCACGAGTCGGCGCAGCAGTGCTCGATCGGCGTCGCCGAAGCCAGGTCCCCAGTCTCGCATCCGGCGCAGTTGGACGCGTCGGGAGCGACGCACGCGACGGAGGTGTCGCCGTTCGGGCAGTGCTGCCGCAGCGCTCGGAGGGCGGCGGCGAGGGCGGCGGCGCGTGCGGCGGCGCGGCGGACGACGTGCGCGGGCAGACAGCGCAGCGCCGCGGTGATAAGCAGATTTTCGGCGACGCGAGAGCCGTTGGTGTTCCAAATCAGGTCGCGGCGGAACCTGTTGGCTAGCCGCTGAGTCCTTCCGAGCGAGGCGGGAGACAGCTTGTCGAGCGCTCCGACGACTGCGGCCGCGCCGGTGCTGGAGAGGAAGGGGCGCTCGGCGATGGTGAAGGCGATCTTTCGCCATGGGACGAGGCACCTGTTCACGGCGGCTGCCTGTGTAAGAGGCGCCGTTCACACACCCTCGCCACCCTCCGCCACAGGGATGAGGCACGGGAAGGGCAAGCCGACCGACCAGAGCTCGTCCGAGATCAGGACAGAGAGGGCGCCGGCCGCCACACCGTCGTAGAGACGGCGCGAGGAGGGCGAGTCGCCTGAGGCCGAGGTGAGGCCGAAGTGAGGGCGAGGTGAGGGCGAGAGGACGCCGAGAGGACGCCGAGAGGACCCGAGAAGTGCCGAGATGATCCGAGATGGTCCGAGATCGAGCCGCGAGCGGGGCGAGCCGCCTCTCAAGACGAGGTTGAAGCGCGACCTCGCCTAATCAGCGAGGGGCTCCTTGAGCGCGCCGACTGGCATACCTGGCGAGGCTGAAGCGCGACCTCGCCATCAGAGATCGGAAGGCGCCGCTCGAGCGTCCCGCGCGGCAGTTTGTGCTGACGGCGCCGCCGCACGCCGCCGGCTTTCCCGGCAGCGAGAAGGCGGAGATGTGCGCCGCCGGCAGGTCTTGCAGCTGCGGCAGCGCGGCCTGGCGGAAGGCGTAGCCGCGGGTGCCGCGGTTGTTTGCGCCGCCCTGAAAGTAAAAGCTCACGTCCCGCTCCTTGGAGGCGGGAGGCCGCCGGTGCGCGGCCGCCGCCTCGTCGTAGTTGGCCACGTACGGCGACACCACGGAGCAGCGCCAAAAGGCGGACGACGGCGGCTTGGCGACGCCATGGCTCTCCATGTGGCCTGTTCACGGCCGGAGGGGTGAAGAGACGCCGTTCACAGCTCTTTGCGACGGCGTCGCTCTCTCAATGAGGCCGACAATCGCGTTGCGGAAGGTCCGGCGGAAGAGCTCGTTGGGCAGCTGGCCGACCTTGGACCAGGGCGCCTGCTCGGGCGGCGTCTGCGTCAGCTTCCACGAGTTGCTGACGATGACGTGGTCTGCGCCGTCATGTCGCGCATACTGCTCGGTCGCCGCAACCGCCGCTGCCGTCGCATCGAGCAGCACCTGAAAGTGCGTCCCGTTGCACGATGCGCCCTTCACAGACGGCTGGAGCGCTGCGTTGAGGTAGAGCGGAACGACAAAGAGGAGGGCAGCCGAGGGCTGCGCCACGCGCCAGCGGTGCCTCCGCAGCTGCGCAAGCCAGTAGTGCTCTCCGGAGTACTGGTCCTCCTCAATCCTCTCTCCGCGCAGCCCACGCGAGCACGCCTCGAACCACGAGCCGTCGTCGAACGACGGCCCCTCGTAGAGGTAGAAGGGGAGCTCCAGCGCCGAGCGGAGCGCGTCGATGCGGTCGGCGTCCTCCTCCTCGTCGGTGGGCATTTGAGCGCAGCTTTGCACTGATCGCCTCGAGCAAGCCAGCTGTCGCGGCGGCCGAACCACGACACGCTTCGAGCGCCGGACTTTTCTTTTTGCACTTACAGGTATGAGTTCTTCTTGCTTCGGCACTCGTAACGGGGTAGGTAGGGTAGGTCTGGGCCCTCCCGTCGGGGTTTTCCCTCTCTTCAAGCTGGAATTTTCCAAAAAAGAAATTTTCCGCGGAAATCACGATGTCAACCCTCCCCAAATGGGTGATCTGATGCTTGTAGGGCTTGAGAGTGGCCTGCCATGTCACAAGAAGGACTGTGGTTGCAGGAGAGTACCACCAACCATCACTCTAGTTGGTATAGACTATAGTACCACACCTTCACCCATCGTGATTTCTTTTTTAGTTTCCATAAGTAAGGTAGGTAGGTAGGTAGGTAGGTAGGGGCAGGGGAGAGGCCGGCCGGGTTTTTCCAGAATTTCATCATGAGTGCCGCCCCAAGCAAAAAGAACACACACCTGTGGCACTTAGGGAATAAATCATTTCGCCAGTGCGCGAAAATTTCGGGGAATTCGCAAAGGAAGCTCATCCACTTACCCCCGAAAATAATTACTCTCGTGAGCTGTGAACAGACGCACTTGCCTTCGGGGGCCCCATTCCGCTAGGTTGGGCGTGCTTTCACGAGAGAAATTATTTTACAACAAAACTCCCTCGCACGACGCTGGGCACGGACTGGCGCGCGCTGGCACTCGTGTGTGTGACACATACACACAAACACAGGTAGGTAGGTAGAAAGGTGAAGAACAGCCAGGCTCGGACTGGACACCAACGCGGTATGGGTGGACGCTAGACAGATGATGACGGCACGCACGAGCGACACAGACACAAACAAGCTCACAAGACACACAGCCAGCTGGCTGCCACACACCCTGAGTTGGCGTACACATAACTCAGGGCCACATTCTTCCTGTCGCCCCCCCCAGCACTCCAAGGTGCCAAGAGAAACAAACAAGGGCACAACATCACAACAGACGACAGGAGGTAACATGCGAGGCTAGAGCAGCATGCTCCACCTCTAGCAATCTCGCCGGCCGGCGAGGCACGGATGAGACCGTGTGTGGGGTCTAGTGAGGTGTCTATGGACGCCCTCGTGAGGCCTCTGCGACGAATGCCAGCCGCGCTGCGGAGCCACACCCTTCGAGCCGCGTCCCGTCGGCACTGCCCCTGAGTGTGTCCCGCCTTGGCGGCACACACTCTCGACGAGGACAGTCCGGTCTGAGCGAGGCAGTCTGTACTCCACAACCTCCTTGGCTTTCCCCCGACGAGCGGCGTGCTATGCGGGCCCGCCGCGGGCGACGCGGGCGGCGAGCCGACGTGCGTGCCGCAGTCATACCCGGGTAGGCAGCGCTGGCGAAGCGAGGCGGTCGGCGCAGGCCCCCGGATGCGGTCGCAGCGAGAGAAGCGAGGCATCAGATGCTGTTGGAAGGGTGGGGAGCAGCCTGCCGTCGAGCGGCGCGCTGCGCAAGCCCGCTGTCGGCGGCCCGATCGGAGAGCTGGTAGTCGTGGTACTATTGTGTATTGAGCGCGCCATCGTGCCCGAGACGGCCCGCCCTGTCCCTGTAGACCCTCCCAGAGAGTTGGCGATGCTGTACAGCATGCCCAGAGCATACTGGACAGGCTCCCGTCGAGCGACGAGCCATGCTGGCTCGCCGGCGGCGGCGAGCTCGAAGACCCGCGCCGAGCTTCGCCGAGCCTGGCGGGCCCGCCCGCACGCCCGCGGCCGCAGGCAAGGAAGGCGAGCTTGCTGGCGTCTTTGGCAAGCGCTCACATGCCAAAAGACACCTCGCAGCGCGCGAGACGTGACCAAAGCGGCACGTCTCGGCGCCGCGAGAGCAGCCGGTCGACGTCGGCACCAAGCGCGCGGCCGCCGGGCGCCTCCGAACCGACAGGGGCGCCGCGGGAGTAGAGAGCACTCCACCGCCATACCGTTTTTGTGGCGGGGTCAATACACACAACGCTGGCACTCGAGAGTAGAAAAATAAGCGAGCGCTCCGCTGGGATTGATCGCGAAACGTGTGGCCTGCCGACACTCGGACTGCGTCGCTCACCGCCGGGGCGGGCGCCTGGTGGCGCCGCGGCGGAACGGAGAGACAGGCATCTCCCTGGCCCCATGCAGCGCATCTTTGGCAGAGCGGCCAGCAGAAGCCCCCGAAGCTCGGGCAGCAGCAGCAGCGGCGCCCGGCGCTCCTCCTCCACCGAGCGAGACTCGCGGGCGCAGCGCACCGAGCGGGTGAGCGTCGTCATGCCGGCTGGCGTCCGTCCGGGCATGGAGGTACAATTTGAGAACCCGCGGACCGGGCGGTACTTCAAGGCGGCGGTGCCGCCGGGCCTCTTGCCTGGGCAGACCTTCATCGTCAACGTCCTTCGCTCGCGGGAGAGCTCGCCAGCACGCGGGCGAGATGTTGTGCCGGTGGAAGTAAGCTTCCCTTCGGCCGCAGCGTCGCCGGGCAGGAGCGCGACGAGCCCCGCGCAGCAGGGCGGCGCGAGCGAGCGCGAGAGGCGCGAGGCGGCGGAGCTGGCGGAGGCTATGGCGGCGTCGCTCGCGGAGCAGGAGGCGGCGCAGCGGCGGCGCGCCGCGGAGGAGGCGTCGGAGCTGGAGCTGGAGGAGGCGACGCGCCTTTCTGCGGAGGAGGCGCAGCGCGAGCTCTCGTGGCGCTCCGAGGGGCAGTCCTGGCGCTCGGACGGACAGCAGTCCTGGGGAAGGGAGGCGGAGGCGGCCTTGCGCGCCTTCGAGCTCGCGGCTGCCGCCTCTCCGCCCGCCCAGCCTCATGGCCCGGGGCCTGGACTTCCCTCGGTCCAGTCCGAGGTACCCGTCTTCCCTTCAGTGCCGCGTGGGGTGCCGGGGGGCCTCCCTCCTGGGGCAGCCTTGGGAGGGGCGGGTCCTCAGCGGGTCGGGGCGGCGCAGGTCCTGTCAGTGACTCCGCTTCCCCCTTCGACGCCGCCTCCCGCCCCGCCGCCGCCCCCGTCGCCGCAACCATCGCCGCACACTCAACCGCAACAGCCGTCGCAGACGCCGCCGCCGCCACAGCCGTCGTCATCCCCGCCACCGCCATCGCCGCTCCCGCTTTCGTCGTCGTCGTCGCCGCCGTCGTCATCGCCGCCGCCGCCGCCGCCGCCGCCGTACCAACCGCCACCGCTGCCGGCCTCTCCGCCGCCGCCACCGCTGCCCTCGCTGCCGCCCGCCCCGAGCGAGCCTCCTCCCGTTCCTCCGAGCACCCCGGACCCTTCCCCCCTCTCTGCCCCCCTCCTCGCCACCCGCTCCCCGCTGCTGGACTCCCGCCCCGCCTCCCGCCCCGCCTCCCGCCCCTCCTCGCCCGTGGGAGGGAGCGGGGCCTCCTCGACCAATGCGAGGCAGCCAGAGGCGTCCCTGGCGGAGCAGAATGCAGAATGTGCCGTCTGCTTTGACCCTCTCCACGCCGCGCCTTGCGCGCTCTTCCGGTGCGGCTCCTTCCGCACGTGCCGCCACTTTCTGCACGAGGCGTGCGCCCGCTCGCTGCCCTTCCCCGAGTGCCCGCTCTGCCGATGCGCCTTCGACACCGTGCAGCCGCTCCCGCCGCTGCTCTCCGACCCTGCCGGCTGGTTCCGCGCCGTGGACACGGGTGGCGAGGCCGCGGGGCACGCCGCGCGGCTTTCGCGGCCGCAGGTTGTCGAGGCGCTGCTGGCGCAGCTTCCCCTGGAGCAGCGCTCGCTGGAGGCGGAGTTCGACAGGCGGTGGGACGGGTGGGCCTCGCCGAGCACGGAGGCCCCGGAGCGAGAGCTGCGCCGGAGACACCTCCTAGACACTTCCTAAAGACACCTCCTAGACACCTCCTAGACACCTCCTAGGCCCCGGAAGGAGAGCTGCGCTACGAGGCGTTCGCGGCGCCAGACAGCGGCGTGCTGGCGCTGGCGCGCTCGGAGCTTGCGAGGAGGCGGGGGTCGCGAATTCAGTTCATTGACTAGTCATTGGTAATGAATCAAGGCGCGTTCGCAGCTCGCGAGGAGGAAGCGAGTGGTTGCGCGCCGCACAGCAGTCCCCGACATCGCCACGGAGAGGTTGCGCTGGTTCGACTACTTTGACGAGGAGAGCGCCGGGCGACTCTCGCAGGCGGGCTCTTAAATGAGCTAATGAATGGTTGATATGAACCTATGACGACGGGCGCGGCGGGCCTGACTCACGTGTGGTTGATGTGAGCAGGAGGCGGTCGTGCGGGGGCTGATCAAGACGTACGGCCTCTCGTCGGACCTCGCGCAGGTGGTGCAGATGCGCGAGAACGTCGCCGCCGTGTGGGCGCTCTTTGTCGACGGCGCGGCCGATGAGGGCGACGCTTGCGTGACGCGCGAGGCGTTCCTCCGCCCGGCGGATGGGCTGGCCGACGCCATCATCGCCTCGCGCGCCACGCTCGCGCAATGCCGCGCGCAGCGAGGCGTCGCGGTGGCTTGTCTGTAGCGCAAGAAATAACAGCTGACCCGCACGTCGTGTGGCGTAAGGTAATCTCAGCCATCGCCAAACAGGCGTGTGTGGCACCGACGCGGATGGGAGAGAGGGTTTCTAGAGGAGGCGGCGGCTACCTACTACCTTTTGTACGTGAGAGTGAGAGCTGAGAGAGGGGCTTGATACTGTTGATGAAAAGCTACGCTCTAGCCGGCATCTCTGCAGACTGGTGCGCACACGCGCCACACCGACACGCGGATCGACTGCGTGCACGCGCTGCAATATGCAGCCATCACACACACAATCAGAGGCTCTCAAGTGAAAAGCCCATTCTCATGGCGGCCACGCGACGTCCGACGATCTGGTCGGCTGCCTCTTGTTCGGTCGGGCTGAGCTTCGCAGCGGTGGCGCCGGTGCTCGGGGTTGGCGAAGTACGCCCGGGTGGTTGTGGTGGGTCAACAGGTTGCGCCTCCTTCCCGAACCCCGAAACGCAAAGTGGGTCCCCGGTTGTACCGCCCAATCATAGGGACGGGCAGAGCGGCAGCCAAGCCACCTTTTGGCCGGCTCTGCCACGCGTGCCGTCAGCGGGCACATCACAGCCGCGAGCGTCGCTTCGGAGCTAAAGGGACACATGGAAGGGCATGCGCCGCGTCTAGCGGTGCCGTTGGCCCACGGGATGTGCATTCGCCACGCGCCAAAGTAGTAGGGGGCCACGTCCGCCGACATCAATGCGTATCGATCAGAGAAGACATGCACGTTGGCATTACGACCATGACCCGTCACGCCATGAGCGTTCGCGGTGAAGAAAGAAGTGTTATCTCGCGGCAAGTCGCGCGGGAGGCACCAGATCGTGTCGATCCGGACGCGCGGGCCACGACTTTGGCGCCGGGGTGGAGCGTCTTCGTACTTCGAGAGCGCAAAGGCTCTGCCGGCGGGCAATCGAGATGAACACGTCGACCCGCGGAGGCGTGTGCGGCTGCTGCGAGTCAGCCGGGACAAAGGCCTGCTTTGCAACAAGTAGGTGGCACTTGCTCCCGAGGACAAGGTGCTCATAGTTGCGCATGCATTGCGCCTTGTCAGACGATCGCGTGTGCGCCGAAGCGACGCCCCACTGTGCAGCCACCGTGAAGCTGGCGTCGCCCTCAAGGCACGGCTGAAGCGCGGCCGAAAGGAAGCTCTCGGCCTCGCAGAGGTACCCCACGCCCGGCATCGGCGTCGTGGCTCGGCAGCCACATGTACATGTATGTTGTTCACGGCAGCGCGCTCGGGACGCCCCCAGGCCCTGGATGTGAGGTTACTAACTGCACGGTGAGGGGAGGCGTCCCGGCGGTCTCAGGCCCAGTGAGGTAGTGCGCCAGACTATCCCGGATCCTGCTGAACAAGCTCCTCTTGTAGCTCGATCGGTCACACCGCCATCGCCGCCGACGAACGAGCGACGTCTCCCAGGGAGATGATGGAGAGGGGGGACGACACTGCTCGATCTACCCTCTGGGGTCCCTCAGCAGCGTGCACCTCGATCCTGTACCGTGTTTGTTATGACCCCCCCCAATGAACACACCAGTGAGGGAGGGCGAGACGGTCGAGGGGTCCCGCACCATGCGGAATCGACCCTATCAAGTGCTCAAGTGCTCAACTGCACTCCAAGTGCTCCAAGGGACGCGCGAACTCGCGACACGTCAAAGTTACGGCGTTGACTTCTTTTTTGTGATTGGATAAATAAATAAAAACGGACACCTGTCTAAAGCCGTACTGTGAGATGGGTAAAAAGGACAGGTCCCCCGCCCGTTTGTGATAGGTCATAGGAAATAAATAAATAAATAAATAAACAAAGAACCAGACAAATACCAAATTCCAAATCGCAAACATAGAAACCCAAAGCCAAACACAGAATAAACTCGTTGTGTGATTTTTTGGAGAGAGGGTCGAAGAAAATTCTTTTTCACAATACAATGTCGAGGCTGATAGAGGGAGAGGACCCAATCGTCTCTACTGACGTAGTGTCTCACGAAGTACGTGGCGCTTTTGCACACCGACTTACAGTATCAGACACTAGATAGATGCGGCGCATCGCACATGCCTTCATGCAGCACTTCACTCCTCTCTAACCAGCTGGCAGAGCAGCTCCTCGTCGTTGTGAGAGTTGGCGACCCGCGCGAGCACGTGGCCGTGGCAGCTGAGCGGCACGCAGAAGCAACCCAGCGTCTTGCCTCGCAAATCGCGCCGCGCCTGAGACAAGTAGACATGTGCGAACCGCAGCGCTGTGAGACGCGGCGCGGCGAGCGCGGGACAACCTCCGCCCTCATCTCCGCCCTCTCTGGCGCCATGAGCCACTCCGTGTACTGCCGAATCACGGAGCCACGGCTCGCGCCTGCTCACACCACCAGCTTGTGAAGAGGCGCTGTGTCGCGGCCCAGATCGCTCGCGGGCGCAGCGACTCCGCGCCGCCGCCCATCGAGAAGGGGTTGCCCCACCTACTCACAGCGCCGAGCGTGAAGAGGCGCCGTTCACAGCGCCGACCACCGCGAGGGCGCTGCCCCCCACCCCCACTTGACGTGCCCGCCGCTCACCTTCTTGCCCTTCGGGGCCGAGTCGGGACGCCCGACGTACACCTATGCTCAACCATGACTCGCCTGCGTCACTCGCCCTCAGGCGGCCTCGGGGCCGGACCAGGACCCGGCATCACCTAGTCAACCATGAGTGCCACTCCAGCCCTCGCCGTTCGGGGGCCGAGTCGAGACGCCCGACGGCACACCTTGCACTTGTTGTCGTGCAGATTGACCACCAGCGCCTAATCACATCGGGATGGCGGTCCCATACCAGCTGCCGCTGCCCTCGTCGGAGGATCCGGCGCCTTGATGTCGTCAGGGATCGGGCCAAAGTCGAGTGGGCCGTCGCCGCCGCCGCCTGAAATTGGTAACCAGGCGTCTGCTCTCCAATTCGCGTCAGCAATCACTCAGGTTGGTTGTTTGCCGGCGGGGCCGTCGCCCGCGTCCGAGCTTGGTGGCGGGTCCCCCCCCAAGAGGGCGGCAAGAGCCGCCTCCGCCTGCTGCTTGAGGCTCCCGCTCGCCTCGATCTCGAGCAGGTCGTTGGCGCGCGCGATCAGCTCCCCGACGCCGCCCTCCGCCTCCACGCCCAGCTCCTCGGCAAGCCTGTAGTTGACACTCCCACCGACTCACGAGGGAACCAATCTCACTCCTCCTCCCCGCCCAGCTCGGGCGAGCCTCGCCGCCACCGCCGCGTCCACAGCGCGCTCCTCCTCCTCACGCTGCGCCGCAGCGCGCGCCGCGCGCCGCGCGCCCGCCAGCCGCTCACGCTCTGCCTGCTCCGCCACCCGCCCCGCCGCCGCCTCGGCCGCCTCGGCCGCCGCTCGCCGCTCTCGCTCCCGCGACCTCTCTGCCTCCTCCCTCGCACGCTGCTCCGCCTGCTCCGCCTTTGCCGCGCGCCTGGCGTTCTCCTCCTCCGCCGCCGCCGCCGCGCGCGCCTTCTCCTCCGCCCTCCGCGCCGCCTCAAACGCCAGCTTCTCTTGCTTCTGCCGCCGCAGCTCCGCCTCGCGCTGCGACTCCTTCTCGCGCTTGCTGATCACCTTGTTTGCCACCTTCTTGGCGGCTGCCTCTCGCCGCTGCTGCTCCTTGACCTCGGGTCGGGGCCTGAGAGAGCACAGCCACGCCCAAAATCCGACGATAAGCCGCGCGAGCAGCTGCTGCAAACGCGAGAGCACGCTCGGCGGCTGCGGATCGCCGACTGCCGGAAGCAACAGCTCGTCGAGCGTCGGGGCGTCCCGAGGCGCCTTTCTCCGCTGACGGGCAGACGAGGACGGCGGCGCTGCGGCTTCTGCCGCGCCAGCTTCGCCTGCCGCGCCAGCTGCACGAAACTCCCAGCAGGAGGACTCGTCTGCCCAGATGAGCTCGGCACTTTGCGGACACACGATCATCCTGGTGCTGGCAAGCTTCTTGTGCCTCTTTCCAGTCAGGTGAGCAGCGACCATCTCGTCGGTCACGTCCACATCGCAGAGGCGGCAGCGACGGCTCATATTTCGCAGCGGCGCGGTGCCGCTGGCGAAGCACTATGCCACAGAAAAAGAATTTTTCCGGCCTTGTGTCTTTTTTAGTTGAACTGGAACACATGCACAGACACACAGCCCCTTCCCCTTCCTCAAGGGCGAGGACACGCGCAGGGGTCGCACTTCTAGCGAGGCCCACAGAGTGGGAGACTCCTATCACCGCCACTGCCACCCACGTGTCAGTCTGCCTGTGGTAGAAGAGACTGCCGGTGAGACGTCGGAGGAAGGTCGCTAGTCGAGAGAGATCGCCAGTGGATAGGGAGTCCACCGTGCTGCGAGCCTGTCGCTGTCCCTTGTCAGGAGCAGGAGAACTAGGAGAGCGCAACCAGTAGGAGGCCCGCGCTTGCCCCCGTGCCGCCGGGTGCAACCTGTCCTATACGAGAGATGGGATTCCTGTCGTGAGGGTGAACCCCCTGCCCAGCCCCCCTCCGTGTCGCGATGCGCTCCCCGCTCCCGTTCCCCTGTGTCCCTGATCGTCCTACAAGATCCTGCTTGTGCAGGTGGGGACCCTGTCCTTCTCCCACCCCTCGTTTGGCGTGTCCGTTGTATTTATTTATTGAACTGGAATAAATAAATAAATACAACGGACATCCCAAGCTAGGGCTGGGTCGAGGACAGACACGTCCCCACCTTTGCAGGATTTTGCAAAAGCGAGGGGGGAGGGCGCATCGCCGCGCGGAGAGGGCTGGGCACAGGGCACAGGGGATCTCTCTCGCATAGGATATGCACTCGGCGGCACGAGGGCAAGGCTGGGCGTCCTATGTTTGTGCTCCCCCCCGGACCCCTCGCTCTCGGGCACTAACCATCTGACCACTCATCGACGGGGCTTGGCGAGCGGCCGCGCTGCGGGGCAGGGCTGGTGAGAATGGGCTCTGGCCACTCGCCCGTGCGGTTGTAACCCCGCATCTGTCGGACAGAGGCCTCGACCGCCCCTCGCGGCAAGCTCTCGAGCATCTCGAGCAGCTCGCCCGCCGCCATCGCCGCCTCAAACTGCTCCCTCATGCCGAGCGCGCCGCATACCCTGCGGACCGCCTCCTGCTGCACCTCGTCCGGCGTATCGGTTTCATAGCCGGACGAGTCAGCGGAGGCGGCCCGCTTGGCGGGCGGAGAGTCGGGCGACGGCGAGCGCGACTGGCGCGAGGGCCCGCTGCCGCGCGCGGACAGCGCGTTCTTGTCAACGAGACGGGGTCCAGCATCGGCACAGCCCCTGGCACCGCGGCCCTTGCCGCGCTGCTGCTGCCCACGCTTCCTGCCCGGGTTAGGGACAGTGAAGGAGCAGCCGCGCACTCCGCCGCCGCTGGGCGGCGGCGGCACGCGCGCGGCGGCGGCCGGGCCCGCAGGCGCGGCGGGCTGGCCACCCGCGGTGGCACCCTGCGGCTGCGATGCGGCTGCGGCGGCGTACGTCTTGGGCGCCGGCTCCGCGGCTGGCGGCGCGGCGGCAGGGGCGGGCGGCGCCGCAGGGCTCGCGCTCGCAGGCGGCTCCGTGGCCTGCGCCTGCCGCTCCTGGCGCACAGCGCGCTCGAGCTGCGAGTGCGGGTGCAGCTGTACGATGACGTCGCCGCTCTGCGTCGCGGTGAAGGAGACCGAGTACGGCGCTTCGCCGTCGTTCTTCTTCTCCGCGTAGACGAGCGCGTAGTCGCACACCTGTCGTTGGTGGTCAGTGAAGATGGTCTCTGTGCAGCGCTCGGCGGAGCCGACGCGAGAGAAGTGCCGCCTGAACGCCATGCGTCAGGCGCTGTTTGAATTGTTGAACTGGAGCTGGAGAAAGAAACGCTGAAACATTTCTCCCTGCCTGCGCCCGAGTCGCCCAGCGAGTATCGCCCGGTGATATCGCCCGGCCATGTCCTCGCCGCCAGAGCTCGACCCCCCTCCCGACATCACCGCCCTACCCGACGCGCTCCTTCTCCACATCCTCTCCTACCTGACTGCCGCGGCGCTCGGCCGCTCGGCCGCAGCCTGCTCGCGCTGGCGCACGCTCGCGTTGGACGACGAGGTGTGGCGCGGCGAGTGCAGGGCGAGCTTCGGGCTCGAGAGCAAGACGGACCCGAGCGGCGGCGCGTGCGCCTCCTTCGTGGAGGCCGCCCGCCACTGGACGGACTTCACCGTCCGCACGTTTGGCGCCTCCCAGCCGCCCGCCGCTGCCCGCGCGACGCTGGCGCCGCTCTGGCAGAGCGCGCGCGAGGCGTGGGGGTGCGTGAGCCGCTGGGCGGGCGATGCGCTGCCCGAGGCGAAGGCGACGCTCGGACCGCCGGCGAGCGCGACGGAGTGGCAGCTGTTTGTCTCGCGGCTCGGGCTCGAGGGTCTGCAGGCTGCAGCTCCTCCCTCTGCACAAGCCATGGTGTGCATTCCTGCTGCGAACGAGTCAGTTGAGCGAGGAGCCTCCTCCCTCAGGCCTCCGAGCCGCTCCTCGCGTACCGGCTCCTCAGCGCAGTCCACGACGGGCAGCGAGTGGCCTCGGACGCAGTCACAGGCTGCGCCCGCCACCTCCTCCGATCCCGCCCTCGCCCTCCCGCCCTCGCCCTCCCGCCCTCGCCCTCCCGCCCTCGCCCTCCCGCCCTCGCCCTCCCGCCCTCGCCCTCCCGCCCTCGCCCTCCCGCCCTCGCCGCCGCCCTACCGACCCTCCCCGCAACCCTCCCCGCAACCCTCCCCGCAGCCCTCGCCGCAACCCTCGCCGCAACCCTCCCCGCAACCCTCGCCGCAGCCCTCGCCGCAGCCCTCGCCGCCGGCCCTTTCCACCGCCCGTCCGCCGCCCTTCCCGCCGCAGCGCTGCGCCAGCTCCGCGACTTTGTCGACCCGGACCTGCGCCAGGCTCTGCACGCCGCGGCGAGCGGCTGGTACTCGCACCCCTCGGGGTGGGAGGACGAGTGCCTCGGCCTGGGCGGCGGCTTCTCGGCGTACAACAATTTTGCCTGCTTGCGCCTGCTGCCGCTCCCTCTCGTTGCGGCGTGGACGGGCTTCCTACGCGCGCAGAGTGGCCTGCCGGAGCGGTTCCTCGTCGTCGCCGCCTGCTTCGGCGACGCGCCGCGCCTGCTCCTGTCCGACCTCGCCTCGGGCGATCTGCTGCTCGGACCGATCTCGCCGACGCCGCATCTCGAGGCGCGGCAGGTTGTGGCGGCTGGAAACCTGCGGCTGCTGCGTGTCGTGCCGGCCAGTGCGCCGCGCGGGCGCGACCTGCTCCTCCTGGCTCGAGGAGCTGTCCAGGACACCTCCACGACACGTCCACGACACGTCCCTCAGGCGCGATCTGCTCCTCTGGCTCGAGGAGCTCGGCCGCCGCCTCGAGGGCGGCGTGTACCTCGCGTCGCCCCTCGAGCCCCCCGACCCGCGCAGTGTCGGCATCTGCCTCTTCCCGCAGGCGAGGTCACCCGAGACCGCCCTAGAGATCGCCCCGAGACCACCTGTCTCGCGGTCTTCCTCTTCCCGCAGGCGGGCGAGAAGCACGTGAGCTGCGTCACCCGCGGCATCCGCGTGACCGCCTCCGCACTGTACGCGCCCGAGATGGCCACCTTCGCCTACTCGATCCGGCTCGCCCTCGTCGCGCCCGGAGAGGAGGGGCACCTGCCGGCCGCTCAGCGCGGCTTCGAGACGGCCGCAGCTGCCACAAGCGCGCGGGTCGGCCCTCCCACCGGACACGTCCACGACGCGTCCACCGCTAGCCCGCAGGCGCAGCTCCACACGCGCCACTGGGTCCTCAGGCAGGCCGACGGCGGCGCGGACCAGGCGCGCGGCAAGGGGGGGCGGGGGGGGCGGTCGGCCACGAGTGCAGAGCCCCTTCCTCGCAGACGCGCCCTCCTCTCCACAGGTGCACGGCAAGGGCGTGGTCGGCAATTTCCCGCTGCTGCGCGAGGGCGGCTGGCGCGGCAAGCAGCGCCACTCCGGCCGCGCGCGGGACACGTCCGGGACACGTCCGGGGCACGTCACCACAGGCGCGACGACAAGCAGCGCCACTCGGGCCGCATCGGGCAGGGCGAGTGGTGCGAGGGCGTGTTTGTGTACCAGAGCCTCAGCGGGCGCGGCTCGAGCATCTCCTTCGAAGGGTCGATCGACTTTGTGCCCGGCTCGCTCGAGGCGCCCGCCGGCGAGGAGTTCGCCGTCGCCGTGCCGCGCTTCCCCCTCCTCGTCGGCGCGGACGAGTACCTCTTCTGAGGGGTGCGCCTCTTCTGAGGCGCGGCGCCTCTCCGTCGGGGCTGGTCTCGGGTCATCTCGGATGATCTCGGGGCATCTCGGGCGCGCGCCGCGCCTGAAGCCGGCCGAGGTAGGAGGGTAGGGAGGGGGCACGGATGGTGGGCCTTTAGAGCGGGCTGTGCCGCGCGGCCGGGAGAGAAATGACCCGGGGATCCGACCTTTACTAAGCTCTTCACGTTCACCGCACTGACGACACACCGGCCCCTGACGCCCCCACTGCCACACTCGCGACTCGCCAGAGCCCAGACGAGACCCCAAAAGCGGAAAAGCAAAAGGCTCGCGCTCGTCCTCGTGGTACGTGGAGTCTAATGCTCGCGTCTCGCGGTGCAGCGAGAGGTCGAGGCAGAGGTCCTGGAGAGGTCAACCGCAATACGAACTAAACGAAGAAAGACGCCGCGCCTCTCTTTTATGGGCCACCGTCGCCGATGCGAAAACGCGTCTACAATACTGGAAAGAGACAGGAAAGAGAATGAATGGGACACTGTGCGTCTTGAACAGTCCCCACAGAGCTGACGGGACCGATCTCACAACTGATCGCCGGCTGCGACGACCTCGGTCGGCGTGATCTGATAGAAGGAGACCTCCCGCGTGTCGTGGAAGGTGGGGCGTCCGCCCGCCATCACCACGAGCAGCGCGCGCGGCGCGTAGAGCAGCGGCGCGAAGGGGTCGAAGCCGACCGAGACTGCCTCCGCCTCCGTGGCGCACACGCGGAAGCCGTGCGCGCTCTTGTGGGTGCACGGCCCGCCGCAGACGCGCGAGGGCTGGAAGTGGGAGGTGGTGCAGCCGATCCGGTACTCTGTCACGCCGTCCTCGATGTCGACGAACCGCAGCGACGGGCTCGCGCCAGCCGGCCGGCGCGTCGGAGCCCGGCTGGCGGCCGGCTGGCGACTCGAGTGCCGGCGGCTCGAGCGTGGCAGCGCGGCAACCACCTTGTACCAGCGGCGGCGGCGCAAGTCGCCCTGCTCGCGACGGACGTGCGACAGGTAGTCGTGCGACGCGAAGCCCTGCGAGAGGCTCTCCTGCGAAGAGAGCGCCCACTCGTCGGGCGGCGGCGCGACCGCGCCAAAGCCACCTCCGCAGCCGCCTCCGCAGCCGCCTCCATAGCCGCCTCCATAGCTCCCTCCACAGCCGCCTCCGCAGCCGCCTCCGTAGCCGCCTCCGCCTGCACCGCCGCCCGCTTGGACCGGCGCGGCGCAGTCGGCGCCATCGTCCGACCGCAAGCCGAGACGGCGCACGTCCCACCACGCCGCCTCCGGCGCGCTGAAGGGCACCCCCTCCGCCCCCTCCGCCCCCTCCGCCGCCGCAGCCTTGGCCGCGGAACGCTCGTCCGGCGTGCGGCCTGGCGGGCCGCGCCTCGGCGGGACGTAGCTGGGCGGCGGGCGGGCGAGCACGCACCTGTGCCTCTGCCGCCAGCCGAGGAGCGCCGACGGCGGCGGCTGCTGCACCCACGCGGCCGACATGGGCTGCTGCTGTGCGGGATGCGGTGCGGCATGCGGTGCGGGATGCTGTGCGGGATGCTGTGCGGGAAGCTGTGCGGCCCTGCCGACAGCATCCTCCCGCGCACAGAGCCCGCCGCCGTCCCGCCAGCGCCTCTCTCCTCGCCCGTGCGCAGCGTCCGCGTCGCTCCCTCCCTCGGGCGGCGCGCCGGCAGGCCCTCGCCCCCCCCACTCCTCCTCACGCCACCGGGCCCGGTAGTCGCTGTCGGGCGACGGAAGCGCCCCGGCCGCCACGCCCTCACGCTCCCAGCGCGCGCGCTCGCGGCTGCCCGTCGCTCGCGGCCCGCGCGGCGTCCCGGCGGGCGGGAGCCCGATCTCCCCGTGCTCCACCCGCCCGCGGACCCCGAGATCGACATCTCGATCTCGCACGCCGAGATCGAGCCGCTCCCGCGGCCCGCTCGGCGACAGGAGGTCGGCGCTGGCGGCGGTACAGCCTAGAACCTCGGCCACGCGCGCCGCGACGCGGCCACGGACGGCGGCAGGCCGGCCCCCGCCGCCGCTCTCGGTCGGCGCAGACGCGCCGCGGCTGCAAGGTCCCGCCGCGGAAGCGCCGCCGCCGCCTCCGCAGCTGGTGCGTCGCCGCAGCCGCTCCGCGTGGTAGGCGGCGTCCGACGCGAGCAGAGCCGCCTTGCGCGCCACGTCGGTATCGAGCGCGCTCCGCCACTGCCTCGTCAATGAGCCCTCCAGCCTTGAGCCATCTGGCTGCGAGCCGTCCCACCACGAGCCGTCCAGCCGGCGCGCAGGCTGCGGCGTGGCCACGCTGCTGCCACGCTCGCTGCCGCGCTCGCTGACGCAGCCTGTCGCCGCGAGCTCTCGAAGCATGCTGCATGCGCACCCGTCGACAGAGGAGGAGGTCAGCTGGGTTCTCTCCTCGAGCCTGCATGGCGTCGGAGGCGCCTCGGGACCCAGTGAATGCCTCCCGTCCACGCGCCCAACTTCTGAGCGACTACTGGACCTGCTGAGACTGCTGAGTGCTGTCGGCACCTCCTCACCCGTTCCGTCGCCCGTCTTCTCCACGAGCTGCGCACGTGCAGCTAGCAAAGCGTGGATGGGGTCGTCGGCAGCCTCGTCGGCTGCAACCAGCCTGGACCGTGCAAACCCTAACGCGGATCGCTGATTGGCTGCCACCGGTAGAGTTGATGTCAGATGTGTCGGATCGTAGTCCCACGCCTGCTCGACGGATGCTCGGGCCGGGCGACAGTGCCCCGGCCGTTGGGACATCGAAAAGAGAGAGTTGCTTGAAATTTATTTGTGCAGTGTGACACCCAAGGTGTTGGACAACGGTGACACGAGGGCTGGGGGTGTGAAGGGCATAACCATGGTTGCGTGCAGACAATGGAGATAGAGCAGCCCTGGAGCGGAGGCCCGCCCGGGGTATTCAGTTTGCCCGCCCGGGGTATTCAGTGTGTCGCGGGCGCCTAATCGGGATTAATTAATTCCGTCGGGGCGCCTACGAATTTACGTTTGCCGTCGGTGTTTCGCAAGCGCCTGGCGGCGGCTTGTGCTATGCCTGCTTTGGAGCCCGACGGGAACGCGGGAGCTTGGTCTCCCACCCTCCTCCCCTATATATAGCCTCTCACAGTCTGGCGACAGTGGGGGGTGAGTGCGAATTTCCGCAGTGTGTGCGTCTTCTCGCTTTGATAACACGCGGATGGTCCAAACCTTTACAGCTCAGCCCCTCGCATGTTACTGCCTAATCGCAGGTGTAGTTTATTTTTGCTTGGGGCGGGCCTGATGATCTGCAAAAACCTGGCCGGCCCCTGCGGTGCCCCTACCTACCTACCTACCTACCTACCTTACTTATGGGAAACTAAAAAGAAATCACTCGACCGGTGAAGGTGGGGTACTATACCAACTAGAGTGATGGTTGGTGATACTCTCCTGCAACCACAATCCTTCTTGTGACATGGCAGGCCACTCTCAAGCCCTACAAGCATCAGGTCACCCATTTGGGGAGGGTTGACATCGTGATTTCCGCGCAAAATTTCTTTTTTTGCTGGGAAAATTCCAGCTTGAAGAGAGGGAAAACCCCGACGGGAGGGCCCAGACCTACCCTACCTACCCCGGCATCAGGCCCGCCCAAGCAAAAATAAACTACACCTGGTAATCGTAACATTAATTCTCGCGCACGTCACTCTTGGCCGAGGAGAGCGGTCTGCCTCCACCCACCACAAATGCCCGCAGATTTGAGTTTTGGGACGGCCGTACTTTGCGCTCGGCCTGCTCGGCCTGCCATGCCCGCGCGCGCCTCGCCCGAGCGCAGCCACCCGCGGACCTCGCCCGAGCGCAGCCACCCGCGGACCTGGCCAGCCTGTTCCTGGCTCGTGCCCAGCCTCCTTCCGCTGCCGGCCTCGCAGTCCCGCCTGCCATCACGCTGCAGAGCCTGCGTAGACGCCAGAGACGCCAATTCTGCAGCCCACAGCCCTGGCAACTGAGGGCGAGGGCCAGCAGTATACGACGACGACGAAATCTCACACCCCGCGCTGGCCAGCGCCATCAGCCCCTCACGGCCCGGCCCAACCGCCCTTCGCTAGCGCCATCGCCTCCAGCGCCTCCAATCAGGTCGCACCTCTCTTCTTCAGCCAATGCAGCGGCAGCACCACGTCAGAGGCCGGGCCGACTGGCGGACCTGCAGCCAGCCATGCCTCCCCCTCCCCACCGGCAGGGCTGGTGGACTAACGTTAGAACGGTGTTGGCACGTTAACGGCTAACACCACAGCCGCAGAGGTGTTAGAACGTTCTAACACTGCCACTCGGGAGGTGTTGGCACGCTCCGTCAGGCGGGCGGCGGGGCGGGATGGGACCGCGCGATGCGATGTGTGCCTGCCTGCCAGCCTCCGCGTACCACCACTGCTCCCAGCCAGGGTGGCGGGCCGTCTAGCCTAGGCTGTCCGCCGCCTCGGCACCGCCCTCGCGCCGAGTGCGTCCAAACCGGACGCGGTAAGCGGGGTACAGAGTTGGTGTACAGTGCGCTCGTCTCGTTGTGTGCGTGAGTCATCTTACCTTGGACCCGCCTGTCTGGGGAGGGTAGGGGCTGTTGCTGCCCTTTGTTTTAGTATGTAAAGAACGCGCATGTAGCATATTATTCACTTCACACCCGCAGCTGCGATTGCGAACACATGTCCCATGGATGGGCGTCCCTCCGTTAAATGCGCCTATTCATTATCGTATCCCTCGTGCTCGACGCCCTCCTCAAAGTCGGCAATCGCCGTATCCACATCCTCCTCTTCCGCCTTTCGATACTTCTTGAGCGCATTCTTCAGCGGCGTCTTGCCACAGTTCTCGTACAGCTCCTCGAGCTCCACCCAGCGCATGTCGATGAATCCAGCGTCATTGCTGTCCTCTTTGAAGGTGCCTCGCGTGAGGTAGCACATGGCCTTGTCGGCAGCAGCCAGCCTGTTGCGCCGCTTCTTTGTGATGAGTTGCTCGGGCTCGCAGAAGCGCATGCCGAGCACTGCCTCAATCTTGAAGCAGAATGTCGGCACGACCGCATCGTCCGCACCGCCACCTGCCAGCCGCGCCTGGCGCAGCGCCGATGCTGCCTTTTGGCACCGGTAGCGAGCGCACATGGTGCGGTGCGCGTACTTGAGCAGGCGGTGCGAGCCGCAGTTGGCGCAGGGGCCCTGGGAGTAGGCCGCGCGCGGCATTGACGCGGACCCAGGTATTTTTCGGGTATACCTGGTGTTTTGCAGGTATACCCGGGTTTTACCCGGAGGGTGTGCCAACACCGTTCTAACGGCGTGCTAACACTTGTTTTGGGACTGCCGTTAGACTGTGCTAACACCGACCTTTGCGCCAAGTGTTGGCACGATCTGTAGTCAGTGCTCCCCCTGAGGGTGTGCTAACGTTAGTCCACCAGCCCTGCCCACCGGCTTGGATCGACCAGCTCCACCAGCCGTCTCGAACCTGGGGGGCATGTTGGGCTGGACTGTACCATTGCTTCTCGACATCCCACGGCGACAACTCCGTCTTCCAGGAACCGATCGAAAGAGAGAGGGTCCCCGTGCTCCAAATGCTCCTCTCGAGGTTCTCGAGGTGGATATCCTTTGGCCGCGTTGGGTAGCGAGGATTGGTGTGACGCGATCCACGCAGGCGTGTTTTCTGACGGCCGACCGTCAGTGCAAGGAGTTGCCCCTTCTCCGACTGCCCCGGCTAGTTCACGAGTTTCGCAAATGCTCCACAAAACTCGCGGCGACCGCCCGGGGGACCATTTGGCGACTCCTACCCACACCCCACCCCTGCCGCGCTCGATCTGGGAGCCACAGTCACAGAGAAATGTACAATACAACACTCTCGCTCACCACACACACTAGGCACGGGACTGGCGCGCACTGGCGTGTTTGGTTTTCTAAAAATCTCTCTAACAGGAGGACCGGTGCCAGAAACTCCACCTCGCACAACACTGCATGGGCACGGGACTGGCGCGCACTGGCACTAGCGAACACTAACAGAAAAGAGATTTCTCGTCCAGCTTCTAGTACATACATGAAAAAACCCGCAATGACTGTCCCCGCATACTGGAGCTGCAGCCTGCACTGGCCACTGCTGGTGCTGCCCGAACAGCCGCACGGTCGTGCGGGATACGCAAAAAGCACGTGCGTCAGCGAGACGCGACAAATGGCTCACGCTTTCCGACTGCGGTCGCGCTCGATCTCGGCCAGACCACGCTCACAGCGCCGCTACGCGACAGCTGCATGATGAACCGCCGGTCGAGAAAGAACGCCTTCCTCTCGCTCAGAGTGGGGGCCCGGTCGCCGTGCGGAACGTCCTTGCACACCGGGCCCGCGTCCTGCCGCTGCGCCTCCAGCGCCCAGCACAGGCGCGTGAGCCGCTGCTGGTCCTCGTGCTGCTGCGAGTCAACGCGCCACGCTCCGCTCCCTTTCTTCGCGTGAGCCGCAGCCCCCCGCGCGCGGCCCGCGCCGCGCCGCGCCTCCGACCCGGCCCGTGGCCGACCCCCAGCGGTTCGCGCCACCTCTGCCCGGGATGCTAAAGATGATGCGGCGGCGAGGGCGCTCGGGAGGGCGGCCATCGAGCCGGGCGTGCCGGCGGCCAGGCCGGGCGTGGGGTTGGCCAGGCCGGGCGCGTCGGTGGAGCCGAACGCCGCGGCTGCCCCGCCGGGCGTGTCGGCCGGCTCGTGCGAGTCGTCGTCGGACTGGGCTGCTGCCGACGAGCTGCCGCCGGAATCGGACACCGAATCGGCGTCCGAATCGTCATCACTCGTCACCCGGCTGTCGGAGTCTGCGTCGCTGGCTTCTGTTGGGGGCTTCAGAGCGAAGGGCTCCTCGTCCGACTCGGAGCTAGCGCCGCTCTGCCCCACGCCGGACTGCTCTGCGGGAGGATTCCCGGGGCTCGACGGCTCGAAGGGCGTCAGCACGAGGTCCGCGTGGGCGAGGGCGGTCTCCAGAAGCCACTTTCGCTGACACGACTCGGCCCCGCCGGCCAGGAGCCGTCCGCGAAGGTCAGGCGTGTGCCGCTTGGCGCAGCAGCCAAGACGGCGCCGGCCCGCCGAGAGGTCGAAGCGGAGCGCCGGCTGGCCGCAGCAGGGGTAGGTGCCGCAGTTGTCGCCATTTGCAAAGGTGGGCTGCTGCGGGTGGTAGGTGCAGTGCTCCAGCTCTGCGAGCGGAAAGGGCTGACCGCAGACCGAGCAGGTGAGGAAGTGGACGAGGGACCAAATCTTCCAGTAGAGGTCGCGCGCCGAGTACTGCTTGGCGCGCCTCGTCGCGGCGACCCACCGGCGCATGTCCCACGCGCGGTCGGCGACGTGCTCGGAGATGGCGTTTCCGTGGAAGTCGATCATCACCGGCGCCTTGGGGCACGTCTCCCACTCGCGCTGGCCGTCGGCAAAGAGCTTGTGGCAGTAGGTGCAGCGGTGGAGCACCGCCGTGTCTGGAGCGAGCTGCGCCTCGATCTTTGCGTCGTAGAGCCGCGAGACGAGCTTGTCCTTCTTGTCCCTCACCTTTTCGAGCTCGTCCGGCTGGAAGAGCTTCGCGAGCTCGCTCAGCAGCTCGTCGTTGAGGCAGGAGAGGTCGATGGGCAGCCTGAGGACGTCGGAGGCGTTCTGCTTGAAGTAGGCGAGGCACAGCTGTACCAGGTCGGGCATCTGCAAGAAGTCGGCCGAGATTAGGATCGAGACGACGGAGGAGGGGTCGAGCAGAGGCGGCGCGGACGGCTGGTGGATGTACTCCATCAGCCACTCGAAGATGTGCACGTCGCAGTGGACCGAGATGTCGACATCCTCGTGCCGCCGGTCGTCTGCCAGGTAGCTCGCAAAATAGTGCATGTGCTCGAGGAGCAACTCCCGCGAGCAGTAAAAGTCGCGGTTCACGCGACGGCCCTCGTCGCGCACGTGGATGATGATGACGTCCTCGGGGGGCACCCCGCCGCCGCCGGTGAACTCCTCTGGCAGCGCGCTGCTGCCACCCAGAGGCGCGCTGCTGCCGCCCGGAGGCGCGGCGCTGCCGCCGCCCGAACCTCGCGCAGCGGCGCTGACTGCCGCGGCGGCAGTGGTATCGATCGCCGCTCTGCCCTCAGGCGGCCCCTCCTTGGACGGCCCGCCGCGCGCCTCGCAGGCGGGCGCCGCCGGACCAGCAGAGTGCCCACGCCGTGTCGCTGCTGGTGTGGCCGCAACGGACCCGCCTCTGCAACCGCTGCTGCTGCACACGTCCCTCGAAGACGACACGTCGCTCCTCAGCGCCCCCTCACCCCTGCCCGCCTCGCCCCTCGCCAGCTCGCCCCTTGCCGGCGGCGCCTCGCTCCGCGACGATAGCGAGATGCTCGAGGCGGACTTGCTGAGCAGCCTCTCGATGGGGGCGACCTGCGCGCCCGGATGGGCCGGCGCCGGTCCAGCCGTGGCCGAGTGCGCCGTCGTGGCGTGTCGTGGAGCCGCACCCGAGGTGGCAGGCGCGCCCTCGCTCAGCCCGCCGGTCGCGCCCGGCGCATTCCCCGGGGGCGACGTCCTCCTCGCCACCGGGGTCGTGCTCGACTCGGCAATCCCGGAGGCTGGCCGGCCGGA